CAGTACACGTACCTTCCCTCTGTATTAGAACTAGACAGCTACACTTACCCTTCCTATGTATTAGAAAATATACAGCTACACTTATCATCCCTCTGTATTAGAACTATACAGCTACACTTTACCTTCCCTCTATGTATTAGAACTATACAGCTACACTACCTTCCTCTGTCTTAGAACTATACAGCTACACTTACCCTGCCCTCTGGATTAGAAACTATACAATACACTTACCTCCCCTCTCTATTATAACTATACAGCTACACTTACCTTCCCTCTCTATTAGAACTATACAGCTACACTTACCCTTCCCTCTGGATTAGAAATATCAGCTACACTACCCTTCCCTCTGTATAGAAACTATACAGCTATACACTTACCCGTCCCTCCTCGTTGTGTTGAACTATACAGCTAAATACACTTCCTCTCATTAGAACTATACAGGCTACACTTACCCTCCCCTCCTATTAGAAACTATACAGCTACACTTACCCTCCCTCTGTATTAGGAAAATATACAGCTACACTTACCCTTCCCTCTGTATTAGAACGATACAGCACACTTACCCTTCCCTCTGTATTAGAAACTATACAGCTACACTTACCCCTTCACTCTCTATTTAGAACTATACAGCACACTACCCTTCCCTCTATATTAGAACTATACAGCTAAACTTACCCTTCCTCTGTATTAGAACTATACAGCTACACTTACCCTTACCTCTGTATTAGAATATCCAGCTACACTTAACCTTCCCTCTGCTAATTAGAACTTATACAGCTACACGACCTTCCCTCTGTATTAGAACTATACAGCTTTACACTTACCCTTCCCTCTGTATTAGAAACTATACAGCTACACTACCCCTTCCTCGTATTAGAACTATACAGCACACTTAGCCTTCCCTCTGTATTAGAACTATCAGCTACACTTACCCTTCCCTCTGTATTAGAAATATACAGCTACCACTTTTACCTTCCCTCTGTATTAGAAACTTATACAGCTACACTTACCCTTACATCTGTATTCGGAAACTATACAGCTCACTTCCCTTCCCTCTTGTATTAGAAACGACAGCGACACTACCCTCCCTTCTCTATTAGAAACTATACAGCTACACTTACCTTCCCTCTCTATTAGAACTATACAGCTACACTTATCCTGTCCTACTGATTAGAACTATACAGCATACACTTACCCTTCCCTTCTATTAGAAAACTATACAGACGTACAATTACCCTTCCCTCTCTATTTAGAACTATACAGCCTAAACTTACCTTCCCCTCTTATTAGAAAACTATAAGCTACCTTACCCTTCCCTCTCTATTAGAACTACACAGCTACACTTACCCTTCCCTCTTATCTAGAACTATATAGCTACACTTCACTCTCTATAGAAACTATAAGCTACATTACCTTCCTCTGTATTAGAACTATACAGCTTACACTTACCCTTCCTCTGTATTAGAACTATACAGCTACACTTACCCTTCCCTCTCTCTTTAGAAACTATACAGCTACACTTCCCTCTATTAGAACTATACAGCTACACTGACCCTTCCCTCTGTATTAGAAAACTCTAACAGCTACACTACCTTCCCTCGCTATTAGGAACTATACAGATACACTTGCCCAGTCCCGCTGTATAGAAAAATATACAATACACTTACCCTTCCTCTTTCTGAAAACTATACAGCTAAACTTACCCTTCCCTTCTGTATTAGAACGTATACATCTACACTTACCCCTTCCCTCTGTATGAGAAACTTATACAGCTACACTTACCAGTCCACTCTCTATTAGAACTATACAGATACACTACCCTTCCCTCTGTATTAGAACTAGACAGCTACAACTACCCTTCCCCTCTGTATTAGAACTATGACAGCGTACACTTACCCTTCCCTCGATTAGAACATACAGACACCACTTACTCTCCCTCTCTATTAGAACTATACAGCTACATTACCTTCCCTTGTTTATTAGAAAAAGATACAAAAAGGCCCCCCCCCCCCCCCCCCCCCAACCCCCCCCCACGACCCTTCCCTCTGTTTAGAACTATAAAGCTACAACTTAACCCTTCCCTCTGTATTAGAACATCCAGATACACTTACCCTTTCCCTCTCTATTGAACATACGCTACACTACCCTTCCCTAGGTATGAGAACTATACAGCTAAATTACTTCCCTCTGTATTAAATATACAGCTAACTTACCCTTCCTCTTATCTTAGACACTCTACAGCTACACTTACCCTTCCCCTCGTATTAGAAATATACAGCTACCTTACCCTTCCCTCTCTGTATTAGCAAACTATACAGCTACACTTACCCCTCCCCTTCTATTAGAACTATACAGCTACACTTCCCCTTCCCTCTGTATTCGAAACATACAGTACACTTACCCTTCCATCTGGATTATGAACTATATACAGCTACACTTACCCTTCCCTCTCTATTAGAAACTATACAGCTAAACCTACCCTTCCCTCTGCTATAGAACTAACCAGCTTAACACTTCCCTTCCTTGTATTAGAACAATACAGACTACACTTACCCTTCCCTCGTATTAGAAACTATACAGATACACTTACTCTTCCCTCCTCTCTATTAGAAAATACAGATCACTTACCATTCCCTCTGTATTAGAAACCTTATACAGCTACCTACCCTTCCCTCTGGTATTAGAAACTTATACAGCTACACTTACCCTTCCCTCTGTATTAGAACTATACAGCTACACTACCATCCCTCTCTATTATAGAAACTATACAGCTACACTTACACTTCCCTATGTATTAGAACTATACAGCTACACTTAAACCTTCCCTATGATATTAGAACTATGACAGCTAACACTTTACCCTTCCCTCTCATAGAACTATAAAGCTAAACTACCCTTCCCTGATTAGAAACGATACAGCTAACTACCCTTCCCTCTGTATTAGAAACTATACAGCTCCACTTTACCCTCCCCTCTCTATTAGAACTATACAGCTTACACTTAACTTCCCTCGTATAGAATATACAGCACACTTACCCTCTCTATTAGAACTATACAGCTACACTTACCCTTCCTCTGTATTAGAACTATACAGCTACACTTACCCTTCCCTCTATTAGAACTATACAGCTACACTTACCCTTCCCTCTGTATTAGAACTATACAGCTACACTTACCCTTCCCTCTGTATTAGAACTATACAGCTACACTTACCCTTCCCTCTTATTAGAACTACAGTACATTACCTTCCCTCTTATAGAACTATCACTACACACCCTTCCCTCGTATTAGAACAACACTACACTACCCTTCCTCTGTATTAGAACTATACAGCTACACTTACCTTCCCTCTTATTAGAACTATACAGCTACACTTACCCTTCCCTCGTATTAGAACTATACAGCTACACTTACCCTTCCCTCTGATTAGAACATACAGCTACACTTACCTTCCCTCTCTATTAGAACTACAGCTACACTTACCCTTCCCTCTTATTAGAACTAACAGCTACCTTACCCTTCCCTCTTATTAGAACTAACAGCTACACTTACCCTTCCCTCTTATTAGAACTATCCCGCTACATTTCCCCTTCCCCCTCTCTTTTAAAGAATATACGTTTAAACTTACCCTTCCCTCGAAATTAAAACTATACAGCCACTTACCCTTCCCTCTCTATTAAAAACTATACAGCTACACTACCCTTCCCCTTTTAATTAAACTATACAGAACACTTACCCTTCCCTCTCTTTGGGAACTTAAAATTAAAACTTACCCTTCCCTCTGTATTAGAACTATACAGCACATTTTCCCTTTCCCTCGTATTAGAATTTAACAGCTAAACTTACCCTTCCCTCTGGGTTAAACTAACAGCTACATTACCCTTCCCTCCTATTAGAACTATACAGCTACCTTACCCTTCCCTTTTGTATTAAAACCTAACAGACATTCCCCTTCCCTCTGTTTTTGGGAAATATACAGCAAAACATTTTCCCCTTTTCCCCCCCCATTAGAACTAAAACAGCTACCCTTCCCCTTCCCTTGTATTAAACTATACAGCACATTTCCCTTCCCCCCTCTCTATTGAAAATATACGGGCTACATTTACCCTTTCCCCTCTGAATTGAACTTATACAGCTACACTTCATTTCCCCTCTGTTTTAAAGAACTATACAGCTACACTTACCCTTTTCCCTCGGGATTAAAAAACTATACAGCTACACTTCCCCTTCCCCCTCTCTTTTAGAACAACAGCTACATTTTCCCTTCCCTCTGTTTAAAAACTATACATTTAAAATTCCCTCTTTTTTTTAGAACTTTACAGCTACACTTCCCCTTTTCCCTCTCATTAAAAACATCCCAGCTACATTACCCCCCCTCTGTTTAAGCCCTATACAGTACATTTCCCCCTTTCCCCTCGTATTAGAACTATACAGCCCCTTTCCCCCTTCCCTCTCTTTTAGAACTATACAGCAAACCCTTACCCCCCCCCTTTTAATTGAACTATACAGTACACTTCCCCTTTTTCCCCCCCTTGTATTAAAACCTATACAGCTACACTTACATTTCCCCTCGGGATTAGAACTAACAGCTACACTTATCCTTCCCTCGGGTTTAAAAAAACTATACACCCTACACTTACCCTTCCCTCTGTTTAGAACTTACAGCTCCATTACCCTTTTCCCTTTTTAAAGAACTATCAGCTACCTTACCCTTCCCCTGAAATTAGAACTATACAGCTAAAATTTTCCCCTTTTTCCCTCTGAAATTAGAACTTACAGCTACACTTACCCTTCCCTCTCTATTAGAACTATACAGCTACATTACCCTTCCCTCTGTATTAGAACTATACAGTTACACTTCCCTCTGTATTAGAACTATACAGCTACACTTACCCTTCCCTCTCTATTAGAACTATACAGCTACACTTACCCTTCCCTCTCTATTAGAACTATACAGCTACACTTACCCTTCCCTCTGTATTAGAACTATACAGCTACACTTACCCTTCCCTCTCCATCTCCTCTGTGTTGAAAGCAAAGACCTAGGGTTGGACAACACAGACAGACAGATGAATCACGCTATAAGGTCTTTGCTTTCAAGGATATACACTTTCATTACCAAGTGATAGAGGAGATATTCTGGATCATTCTGGTCAGTATTGGCTCATGCATTTTCTGTGTGTCACGGTGGCTGGTTTAACCGTTGTCTCCAAGAGTGTCTCTCACCTGTCCAGTCCTCTGCAGGTGCCCAAAGTGGACGTCTGGGATGAACAGGACAGGCTGGGTGTCCAGGTCAGAGAGGGACTTGAAGAACACTGTGTCTGGCCTTCCTGTTCAACGCTACCAGGCTCCCATCCTTCCCTGGACCGCAGGAGAGAAACAACATGCACGGTCACTCATAGTTAGTCTACATAGAACAAAAACGTCTGCACGCCTAATTTCACAGGTACACAGGTGCGTAGGAAAATCAAAACTGAAGTCTGACATCAGTTGATTCAGATTTATGCAACCATCACCCACCTTCCCAGCTGCACTAGTCTGAACCCCTGATCATAGCTTCCTGTTGAATCCTGAACCCCTGATCATAGCTTCCTGTTGAATCCTGAACCCCTGATCATAGCTTCCTGTTGAATCCTGAACCCCTGATCATAGCTTCCTGTTGAATCCTGAACCCCTGATCATAGCTTCCTGTTGAATCCTGAACCCCTGATCATAGCTTCCTGTTGAATCCTGAACCCCTGATCATAGCTTCCTGTTGAATCCAGGCAGGCACTCTCTCTACTGCAGGAGACGCCAATAGCTACCGGCATGTTCTTTACTATTATCTCCATGGAAACTACTTATCTGACCTTTGCGCTTCATCCGGATCTGCTTCCTCACCTCATCACGGATTCTCCGTTCTGCTCCCTGTGGAATGGATGGGATGATTAATACCAGGGATTAATACTGAGATATGGAAACATGGCCTATGGAATTTGGTGAACCATCAACGCTTTTTTATTTTAATCAAAATAGGCCCAAATACACTATATATACAAAAGTATGTGGACACCCATTCAAATTAGTGGATTTGGCTATTTCAGGCACATCCGTTGCTGACAGGTGTATATCGAGCACACCGCCATGCAATCTCCATAGACAAACATTGGCAGTAGAATGGCCTTACTGAAGAGCTCAGTGACTTTCAACGTGGCACCGTCACAGGATGCCACCTTTCCAACAAGTCAGTTCGTCAAATTTCTGCCCTGATAGATCTGCCCCAGTCAACTGTAAGTGTTGTTATTGTGAAGTGGAAACGTCTAGAAGCAACAACAGCTCAGCCGCGAAGTGGTAGGCCACACAAGCTCACAGAACTGGACTGCCGAGTGCTGAAGCGCGTAGCGCGTAAAAATCGTCTGTCCTCGGTTGCAACACTCACTACCGAGTTCCAAACTGCCTCTGGAAGCAACGTCAGCACAAGAACTGTTCATAGGGAGCTTCATGAAACGGGTTTCCATGGCCGAGCAGCCACACACAAGCCTAAGATCACCATGCGCAATGCCAAGTGTCGGCTGGAGTGGTGTAAAGCTCGCCACCATTGGACTCTGGAGCAGTGGAAACGCGTTCTCTGGAGTGATGAATCACGCTTCACCATCTGGCAGTCCGACAGACGAATCTGGGTTTGGAGGATGCCAGGAGAACGCTACCTGCCCCAATGCATAGTGCCAACTGTAAAGTTTGGTGGAGGACAAATAATGGTCTGGGGCTGTTTTTCATGATTCAGGCCCCTTAGTTCCAGTGAAGGGAAATCTTAACGCTACAGCATACAATGACATTCTAGACGATTCTGTCCTTCCAACTTTGTGGCAACAGTTTGGGGAAGGCCCTTTCCTGTTTTAGCATGACAATGCCCTCTGTGCAGAAAGCGAGGTCCATACAGAAATGGTTTGTCGAGATCGGTGTGGAAGAACTTGACTGACCTGCACAGAGCCCTGACCTCAACCCCATCGAACACCTTTGGGATGAATTGGAACGCCGACTGCGAGCCAGGCCTAATCGCCCAACATCAGTGCCCGACCTCACTAATGCTCTTGTGGCTGAATAGAAGCAAGTCCCCGCAGCAATGTTCCAACATCTAGTGGAAAGCCTTCCCAGAAGAGTGGAGGCTCACCTTGTCACAGAAGACCTTGATCTCAGAGAAGGCTCTGTGTGTGGGTGTGTCGGAGCGGTGGCTATAGCTGTAGGTGTCTATCTGGATCATCAGAGGTATGCCCTTCACCCCCTTCTGGCAGGAGAACTCTGTACTCAGACAGTTGACTGTGATGAGTACCTGGTAGAGAGAAGACAGAGTACAGGTTACATCTATATGAAGTAGGGCTAGTGTGATTACCGTATAACGGATGGTTATGGATGAAGAAAAGAAAACATCATTTAAAAAAACGTCCGGGCATTCGCGCGCGTTTGAGTCCGTTTCTGCGATAACAACGTAATGAAACTTCGTTGCCCCTCGCTGAAACAAGCAAGGTATTGTAGAAAATGATTAGTGGAATGGGCTTGGAAACCTCTAACCCTGGCAGTTTGACCTCGAACCCTGGCAATTTGACCTCGAACCCTGGCAGTTTGACCTCGAACCCTGGCAGTTTGACTTCTAACCCTGGCAGTTTGACCTCGAACCCTGGCAGTTTGACCTCGAACCCTGGCAGTTTGACCTCGAACCCTGGCAGTTTGACCTCTAACCCTGGCAGTTTGACCTCGAACCCTGGCAGTTTGACCTCGAACCCTGGCAGTTTGACCTCGAACCCTGGCAGTTTGACTTCTAACCCTGGCAGTTTGACCTCGAACCCTGGCAGTTTGACCTCGAACCCTGGCAGTTTGACCTCTAACCCTGGCAGTTTGACCTCGAACCCTGGCAGTTTGACCTCGAACCCTGGCAGTTTGACCTCGAACCCTGGCAGTTTGACCTCGAACCCTGGCAGTTTGACCTCGAACCCTGGCAGTTTGACCTCGAACCCTGGCAGTTTGACCTCGAACCCTGGCAGTTTGACCTCGAACCCTGGCAGTTTGACCTCGAACCCTGGCAGTTTGACTGGTAAACTCATGGGTACACTCGCAATGGCTGCCTGGTATTGTGATGCAACAATGTCCATGGTAATGTATAATGTTAATGCAAATTATGTTAACTGATGTGACTCTCATGCAATGGTTTATTTATTTTTTGTAATGTCGGTTGAGTTGAATCAACAAAACACGAACACTTCCTGCTTTTACTTCCTGCTTTACTTCCTGCTTTTACTTCTTGCTTTTACTTCCTGCTTTACGTCCTTCTTTTACTTCCTGCTTTTACTTCTTTGCTGCTATAGATACACTCACAATGGCCGCCAGTCCACCCAGTATGCCATCATTGACTTGAATGGGGATGCCCGTTCTATTCATTCTATTTCTATGGCAGCACAACGGTTATTACTGAGACCGTCGTCATTTGGCTGGGCAATTACAGTCATCCAAAATTCCATGACCGTCACAGCCCTAATATGAAGCCACAATCTGCCAGGTCGTTAACTGTATGTCATGTTGCCTAATAAAGAGTCACCACAACATCCTAGTTGTTTCCTGTATGAGGCATCGTATCTGAACGTGTCAACCATTGCTGATTACTGACAGGCCTAGAGGCTTGAAATGATGGCGCCAGAGAAGATGGCTGCCGTTTTACAGCCTTCTAACCAATTGTACTATAATGTGTGTTTTTTGACATTATTTGTAATTTATTCTATACATAATGTTTCTGCCACCGCCTCTTATGACCAAAAACTGCTTCTGGATATCAGGACAGCGATTACTCACCTCGTATTGGACGAATACTTTTTCTTCAACAAGTCGGACGCGAAGGATATCCTACAGACACCCGACAAGGCCCAAATCTCCGTCATTCGCATGAGGAAGAGACTGAGATATCGTGGACGTAGGTCGGGGTGCCTTGTAAGGATCCGACGGCGAGCGAGTAAACTGCCTCTTCCATCAATCCTATTAGCCAACGTTCAATCATTGGAGAATAAATTGGACGACCTAAGATTACGGTTATCCTACCAACGGGACATTAAAAACTGTAATATCTTATGTTTCACCGAGTCGTGGCTGAACGACGACATGGACAACATACAGCTAGCGGGATATACGCTACATCGGCAGGATAGAACGGCTGACTCCGGTAAGACAAGGGGTGGCGGTCTGTGTATATTTGTAAAACAACAGCTGGTGCACAAAATCAAATACTAAGGAAGTCTCAAGGTTTTGCTCGCCTGTCGTAGCTGTCTATTTACCACCACAAACCGATGCTGGCATTAAGATTGCACTCAATGAGCTGTATAAGGCCATAACTGAACAGGAAAACGCTCATCCAGAGGCAGCGCTCCTAGTCAACACAGCAGCCATTGCTAGCTAGCCAACATTACCAGCTGGCTGTACTGTAGTAGCTAAATACAATATCTTTGTGCTAGCTACCCAACGTTTAATCATTGCTGCGTTATGAAAGGTAAGCTTGGCTTCTTATATGGTGTTGAGTTAAGCTTAAACCATGTATTTAGATTTTAGGTAGGTATTGTAGTTTGGTATTATAGGTAGCTTACTCAGGTAGTTATTGAAGGTTATTGTAGGTAATTATTGTAGGTAAGTATTGTATTCGGCAGACCCCGGCGAAGCACGAGGCTAGCCTACCCACTACTTGGACCAACAAAGCTAGCTAGCTAGCTAGCGGGTAGCTACTGTTAACTTTTTGCAACTGTGGTTAACTTAGTTATCTATGGCGTCATAGTTAGGCATCGTGGGCTGTTGTGGGTAGTTATTGTAGGTTAGCATTGTTTTCGGCATTGTTTTCGGCGGTGCCGGGTGTAGCACGAAGCTAGCTAGCTAGCCGTTTTTCAAACAAAGTCAACACAGTAGCCATTGCTAGCTAGCCAACACGACCAGCTAACTGTACTGTAGTAGCCAAATACAATATACTTGTGCTAGCTAGCCAACGTTTAATTATTGCTGCGTTATGAAAGGAACTAGACACTGACACGAATTATCTGTTTAGTGTGTTAACACACTATTGGTAGTTTGTTGTAACCAAGTATTGGTGCTAAACTGTGTGTTATTGGATGCTAGCATGCTAGTTAGCTATGGTGTCATAGTTAGGCATCGTGGGCTGTTGTGGGTAGTTACTGTAGGTTAGCATTGTTTTCGGAGGTGCCGGTTGTAGCACGAAGCTAGCTAGCTAGCCGTTTTTCGAACAGAGTCAACACAGTAGCCATTGTGTGCTGTACTGTGGCAGCTAAATACAATATATTTGTGCTAGCTAGCCAACGTTTAATTATTGCTGCGTTATGAAAGGAACTAGACACGGACACGAATTATCCGTTTAGTGTGTTAACACACTATTGGTGGTTTGTTGTGACCAAGTGTTGGTGCTAAACTGTGTGTTATTGGATGCTAGCATGCTAGTTAGCTATGGTGTCATAGTTAGCTAGCTGAATAAAGTGGGTTGAGTCTACTCCTTTAAACATTGAACCGCTGTGGTTCACAACAATTCTGATTTCTAAAGGTGGAAGTTGGGAGAGTTTTTGTTCGGGTGGTTCAGTGAAACAATTATAGTTTCTGAGGTGGAAGTTTTGGTGAGGGAGGCCCTGCTCTCTCCTCTCCCAGATGTTTAGTTCATTTCATTCCGATCTCCTCTGCATTATTGTAGCCATTTGCTACAGCCTGTCAACTATGCCTCTGCCTATCCCTGTTCTCTCCTCTCTGCACAGGCTACACAAACGCCTCACACCGCGTGGCTGCTGCCTCTCTAACCTGGTGGTCCCTGCACGCACCCCACACCTGGAGTTCCAGGTCTCAGGCAGCCTCTGGAACTGCCGTTCTGCTGCCAACAAAGCTGACTTCATCCCAGCCTATGCTAACCTCCAGTCCCTCGACTTCCTGGCGCTGACGGAAACATGGATTACCACTGAAAACACTGCTACTCCTACTGCTCTCTCCTCGTCTGACCATGTGTTCTCGCATACCCCGAGAGCATCTGGTCAGAGGGGTGGTGGCACAGGAATCCTCATCTCTCCCAAGTGGACATTCTCAATTTTTCCCCTAACCCATCTGTCTATCTCCTCATTTGAATTCCATGCTGTCACAGTCACTAGCCCATTTAAGCTTAATATCCTTGTCATCTATCGCCCTCCAGGTTCCCTTGGAGAGTTCATCAATGAGCTTGACGCCTTGATAAGTTCCTTTCCTGAGGATGGCTCACCCCTCACAGTTTTGGGGGATTTCAACCTCCCTACGTCCACATTTGACTCATTTCTCTCTGCCTCCTTCTTTCCACTCCTCTCCTCTTTTGACCTCACCCTCTCACCGTCCCCCCCTACTCACAAGGCAGGCAATACGCTTGACCTCATCTTCACTAGATGCTGCTCCTCTACTAATCTCACTGCAACTCCCCTCCATGTCTCCGACCACTACTTTGTTTCCTTTTCTCTCTCGCTCTCCTCCAACACTACTCACTCTGCCCCTACACAGATGGTAATGCGCCGCCGCAACCTTCGCTCTCTCTCTCCCACTACTCTCTCCTCTCTCTCCAGATAAAATCCTGCGACTTGTGACTGCAGGCCGCCCAACAACCTGCCCGCTTGACCCCATCCCCTCCTCTCTTCTCCAGACCATCTCCGGTGACCTTCTCCCCTACCTCACCTCGCTGATCAACTCATCCTTGACCGCTGGCCATGTCCCTTCCGTCTTCAAGAGAGCGAGAGTTGCACCCCTTCTCAAAAAACCAACACTCGATCCCACTGATGTCAACAACTACAGACCAGTATCCCTTCTTTCTTTTCTTTCCAAAACCATTGAGCGTGCCGTCTTTAGCCAACTCTCTTGCTATCTCTCTCAGAATGACCTTCTTGATCCAAACCAGTCAGGTTTCAGGACTGGTCATTCAACTGAGACTGCTCTTCTCTGTGTCACGGAGGCTCTCCGCACTGCTAAAGCTAACTCTCTCTCCTCTGCTCTTGTCCTTCTAGACCTGTCTGCTGCCTTTGATACTGTGAACCATCAGATCCTCCTCTCCACCCTCTCCGAACTGGGCATCTCCGGCGCGGCTCACTCCTGGATTGCGTCCTACCTGACTGGTCGCTCCTACCAAGTGGCGTGGCGAGAAGCTGTCTCCGCACCACGTGCTCTCACCACTGGTGTCCCCCAGGGCTCAGTTCTAGGCCCTCTCCTATTCTCCCTATACACCAAGTCACTTGGCTCTGTCATATCCTCACATGGCCTCTCCTATCATTGCTACGCTGACGATACACAACTAATCTTCTCCTTTCCCCCTTCTGATAACCAGGTGGCGAATCGCATCTCTGCATGTCTGGCAGACATATCAGTATGGATGACGGATCACCACCTCAAGCTGAACCTCAGCAAGACGGAGCTGCTCTTCCTCCCGGGGAAGGACTGCCCGTTCCATGATCTCGCCATCACGGTTGACAACTCCGTTGTGTCCTCCTCCCAGAGTGCGAAGAGCCTTGGCGTGACCCTGGACAACACCCTGTCGTTCTCCGCTAACATCAAGGCGGTGACCCGATCCTGCAGGTTCATGCTCTACAACATTCGGAGAGTACGACCCTGCCTTACACAGGAAGCGGCACAGGTCCTAATCCAGGCACTTGTCATCTCCCGTCTGGATTACTGCAACTCGCTGTTGGCTGGCCTCCCTGCCTGTGCCATTAAACCCCTACAACTCATCCAGAATGCCGCAGCCCGTCTGGTGTTCAACCTTCCCAAGTTCTCTTACGTCACCCTCCTCCTCCGCACACTCCACTGGCTTCCAGTTGAAGCTCGCATCCGTTACAAGACCATGGTGCTTGCCTATGGAGCAGTGAGGGGAACGGCACCTCCGTACCTTCGGGCTCTGATCAGTCCCTACACCCAAACGAGGGCATTGCGTTCATCCACCTCTGGCCTGCTGGCTCCCCTTCCTCTGTGGAAGCATAGTTCCCGCTCAGCCCAGTCAAAACTGTTCGCTGCTCTGGCACCCCAATGGTGGAACAAGCTCCCTCACGACGCCAGGACAGCGGAGTCACTCACCACCTTCCGGAGACATTTGAAACCCCACCTCTTTAAGGAACACCTGGGATAGGATAAAGTAATCCTTCTACCCCCCCCCCCCCCCCCCCCCCCCCCCCCCAAAAAAAAAAAAAAAAAAAAATGTAAAGTGGTTTTCCCACTGGCTATAGGGTGATTGCACCAATTTGTAAGTCGCTCTGGATAAGAGCGTCTGCTAAATGACGTAAATGTGCCATTGAGCAAGGCACTTAACCCTAATTGCTCCTGTAAGTCGCTCTGGATAAGAGCGTCTGCTAAATGACTAAAATGTAAAATGTAAATGTAGTGGCCGGGGACTTTAATGCAGGGAAACTTAAATCCGTTCTACCTCATTTCTACCAGCATGTTAAATGTGCAATCATTTGATGAAGCCACACACAGAGACGCATACAAAGCTCTCCCTCGCCCTCCATTTGGCAAATCTGACCATAATTATATCCTCCTGATTCCTGCTTATAAGCAAAAACTAAAGCAGGAAGCACCAGTGACTCGGTTAATAAAAAAGTGGTCAGATGACGCAGATGCTAAGCTACAGGACTGTTTTGCTAGCACAGACTGGAACATGTTACGGGATTCTTCAGATAGCATTGAGGAGGACACCACATCAGTCACTGGCTTCATCAATAAGTGCATCGATGACGTCGTCCCCACAGTGACCATACGTACATACCCCAACCAGAAGCCATGGATTACAGGCAACATCCGCACTGACCTAAAGGGTAGAGCTGCCGCTTTCAAGGAGCGGGACTCTAACCCGGACGCTTATAAGAAATCCCGCTATGCCTTCCGACGAACCATCAAACAGGCAAAGAGTCAATACAGGACTAAGATTGAATCGTACTACACCGGCTCTGACGCTCGTCGGATGTGGCAGGGCTTGAAAACTATTACAGACTACAAAGGGAAGCACAGCCGCGAGCTGCCCAGTGACACAAGACTTCCAGACGAGCTAAACCACTTCTATGCTCGCTTCGAGGCAATCAACACTGAAGCATGCATGAGAGCATCAGCTGTTCCGGATGACTATGTGATCACGCTCTCCGTAGCCGATGTGAGTAAGACTTTTAAGCAGGTCAACATTCACAAGGCCGCAGGGCCAGACGGATTACCAGGACATGTACTCCGAGCATGCGCTGAACAACTGGCAAGTGTCTTCACTGACATTTTGAACATGTCCCTGACTGAGTCTGTAATACCAACATGTTTCAAGCGGACCACCATAGTCCCTGTGCCCAAGAACACTAAGATAACCTGCCTAAATGACTACCGACCCGTAGCACTGACGTCTGTAGCCATGAAGTGCTTTGAAAGGCTGGTCATGGCTCACATCAACACCATTATCCCAGAAACCCTAGACCCACTCCAATTTGCATACCGCCCCAACAGATCCACAGATGATGCAATCTCTATTGCACTCCACACTGCCCTTTCCCACCTGGACAAGAGGAACACCTACGTGAGAATGCTATTGATTGACTACAGCTCAGCGTTCAACACCATAGTGCCCTCAAAGCTCATCACTAAGCTAAGGACCCTGGGACTAAACACCTCCCTCTGCAACTGGATCCTGGACTTCCTGACGGGCCGCCCCCAGGTGGTAAGGGTAGGTAACAACACATCTGCCACGCAAATCCTCAACAAGGGGGCCCCTCAGGGGTCCGTGCTCAGTCCCCTCCTGTACTCCCTGTTCACCCATGACTGCATGGCCAGGCACGACTCCAACACCATCATTAAGTTTGCCGATGACACAACAGTGGTAGGCCTGATCACCGACAACGATGAGACAGCCTATAGGGAGGAGGTCAGATACCTGGCCGTGTGGTGACAGGATAACCACCTCTCCCTCAACGTGATCAAGACAAAGGAGATGATTGTGGACTACAGGAGAAAAAAAAAAGTGGACTGAGCACGCCCCCATTCTCATCGACGGGATTGTAGTGGAACAGGTTGAAAGCTTCAAGTTCCTTGGTGTCCACATCACCAACAAACTATCATGGTCCAAACACACCAAGACAGTCGTGAAGAGGGCACGACAAAGCCTATTCCCCCTCAGGAGACTGAAAATATTTGGTATGGGTCCTCAGATCCTCAAAAAGTTCTACATCTGCACCATCGAGAGCATCCTGACTGGTTGCATCACCGCCTGGTATGGCAACTGCTCGGCCTCCGACCGCAAGGCACTACAGAGGGTAGTGCGTACGGCCCAGTACATCACTGGGGCCAAGCTTCCTGCCATCCAGGACCTCTATACCAGGCGGTGTCAGAGGAAGGCCCTAAAAATTGTCAAATACTCCAGCCACCCTAGTCATAGACTGTTCTCTCTGCTACCGCGCGGCAATCGGTACCGGAGAGTCATGTCTAGGTCCAAAAGGCTTCTTAACAGCTTCTACCCCCAAGCCATAAGACTCCTGAACAGCTAATCATGGCTACCCGGACTATTTGCACTGCCCCCCCCACCCCACCCAATCCCCCTCTTTTACGCTGCTGCTACTCTGTTTATTATCTATGCATAGTCACTTTAACTCTACCTACATGTACATATTACCTCAATTACCTCTGTGTCTCACAGAGCTAAGAGGTCTATAACCCCCTCAGCATCAAGTCTCCAGAGGAGTGTGTCTCACAGAGCTAAGAGGTCTATAACCCGCTCAGCATCAAGTCTCCAGAGGAGTGTGTCTCACAGAGCTAAGAGGTCTATAACCCCCTCAGCATCAAGTCTCCAGAGGAGTGTGTCTCACAGAGCTAAGAGGTCTATAACCCGCTCAGCATCAAGTCTCCAGAGGAGTGTGTCTCACAAGCTAAGAGGTCTATAACCCCCTCAGCATCAAGTCTCCAGAGGAGTGTGTCTCACAGAGCTAAGAGGTCTATAACCCGCTCAGCATCAAGTCTCCAGAGGAGTGTGTCTCACAGAGCTAAGAGGTATATAACCCCCTCAGCATCAAGTCTCCAGAGGAGTGTGTCTCACAGAGCTAAGAGGTCTATAACCCCCTCAGCATCAAGTCTCCAGAGGAGTGTGTCTCACAGAGCTAAGAGGTCTATAACCCCCTCAGCATCAAGTCTCCAGAGGAGTGTGTCTCACAGAGCTAAGAGGTCTATAACCCCCTCAGCATCAAGTCTCCAGAGGAGTGTGTCTCACAGAGATAAGAGGTCTATAACCCCCTCAGCATCAAGTCTCCAGAGGAGTGTCTCACAGAGCTAAGAGGTCTATAACCCCCTCAGCATCAAGTCTCCAGAGGAGTGTGTCTCACAGAGATAAGAGGTCTATAACCCCCTCAACATCAAGTCTCCAGAGGAGTGTCTCACAGAGCTAAGAGGTCTATAACCCCCTCAGCATCAAGTCTCCAGAGGAGTGTGTCTCACAGAGCTAAGAGGTCTATAACCCCCTCAGCATCAAGTCTCCAGAGGAGTGTGTCTCACAGAGCTAAGAGGTATATAACCCCCTCAGCATCAAGTATCCAGAGGAGTGTGTCTCACAGAGTTAAGAGGTCTATAACCCCCTCAGCATCAAGTCTCCAGAGGAGTGTGTCTCACAGAGCTAAGAGGTATATAACCCCCTCAGCATCAAGTCTCCAGAGGAGTGTGTCTCACAGAGCTAAGAGGTCTATAACCCGCTCAGCATCAAGTCTCCAGAGGAGTGTCTCACAGAGGTCTATAACCCCCAAGAGCCTTTTCTGGTCAGTCATTCAGCTCAACACAAACAATATCAAACAATGTTCAGTATTCATCCAATGAATTGAAATGATTTTGTATCCCATCCAACACATCTCTCACTGAGTTCTAATGATGATGACTGTTGCCATGCAACTAATCTGTCAAAATGAAAACCTAAATGCATCATCAGCATCATCATCATCCACCCTTGTCTTCATGATTGTGATTGTTTTGTTTGCCTGACAATCTTTGTCTGAGTAGGACACCATTTAGTTATTATTTTTGGTCCACAGGACTAAACACCAGTACCAGGTAATGACCAGAGCCTGTCACGACAGGACCAGGTAATGACTAGAGCCTATCACGACAGGACCAGGTAATGACTAGAGCCTGTCATGACAGAACCAGGAAATTACTAGAGCCTGTCACGACAGGACCAGGTAATGACTAGAGCCTGTCACGACAGGACCAGGTAATGACTAGAGCCTGTCACGACAGGGACCTCTCACGACAGGACCAGTTAATGACCAGAGCCTGTCACAACAGGACCAGGTAATGACTAGAGCCTGTCACGACAGGACCAGGTAATGACTAGAGCCTGTCACGACAGGACCAGGTAATGACTAGAGCCTGTCACGACAGGACCAGGTAATGACCAGAGCCTCTCACGACAGGACCAGTTAATGACCAGAGCCTGTCACAACAGGACCAGGTAATGACTGGAGCCTGTCACGACAGGACCAGGTAATGACTGGAGCCTGTCACGACAGGACCAGGTAATGACTGGAGCCTGTCACGACAGGACCAGGTAATGACTAGAGCCTCTCACGACAGGACCAGGTAATGACTAGAGCCTCTCACGACAGGACCAGGTAATGACTAGAGCCTGTCACGACAGGACCAGGTAATGACTAGAGCCTCTCACGACAGGACCAGGTAATGACTGGAGCCTGTCACGACAGGACCAGGTAATGACTGGAGCCTCTCCACTTGGCTGTGGCACCACATCGTTAATATTGTTTCCCTATGAGGGCACCCCAATCAGAACAGGCTGGTTTAATGGAACCCCTAACTTTGGATGCGTCCCAATGGCACCCTGCACCCTGTACAGTGCACTACGTTTGACCAGAGCCCTATCAGCCCTGTGGGCCCTGGTCTAAAGTAGTGCACTAGGAAGGGAATAGGGTGCCATTGGGGACGTAGTCTGTGTTTTCCTGCGCCAGCCCATCTCAGCTGGGATCTCTGGTAGTTCAGTGGGGTGACTTCAGGATCTGTCTCTGTGCCAGTAGAGGTGATAATTACAAGATGTCAGGGGTCAGAGAGGTGGAGGGGTGGAGAGTAGGGCTGGCCGATTATTATAATTAATTTGATTAATTCAATTTAATGTTTTAGCACGATATTCCAAATGCCTGTATCGTCAGAATAGAGGATTTATGGTCTCATCTCCTTCTGCTGTGACTCTGCACCTTCTTCCCATTTATACACACACACACACACACACACACACACACACACACACACACACACACACACACACACACACACACACACACACACACACACACACACACACACACACACACACACACACAGTCTTGTACAGCTTGTCTTGTACAGCTAACCTTGTGGGGACACACAATTCAGTCCCATTCAAAATCCTATTTTCCCTAACCCCTAACCCTAACCCCTAACCCTAACCCTAACCCCTAACCCTAACCTTAACCCTAGCTCCTAACCCTAACCCTAAAACAAACCCTAGTTCCTAACCCTAAACCTAGCTCCTTACACTAATTCTAACCTTAACCCTAAACCCCCTAGAAATAGCATCTGACCTCGTGGGCACTAACAAAATGTCCTCAGTTGGTCAAATTTTTGTTCGTTTACTATTCTTGTAGTAAACTCAAAAAAAATGGATAAACTGGGGACATTTTGTTAGTTCACTCACACACACCAAGTCCCTGCCACTCACAATAAGCGGTTTCAACTCGCTATTTGCATTTGAGGTTTGGTCCAACAGAATCGCTCATATTGACACCGAAACGCATTGAGACTTTATTTTACTGTAATAGAGAAGTCAACCTTTCTAACAGCAGATGCTACTAAAACGGGAGTGAATGCTCAGTTTCTGTCGCACGCCGTATAGCGGTACCGCTATCAGACTGTTATACACTGAACAAAAATATAAACGCAACATGTAAAGTGTTGGTCCCATGTTTCTCTCAAATTTTGTGCACTAATGTGTTTACATCACTGTTAGTGAGCATGTGTCACGCCCTGGCTCTGGGGACTATGTTATGTTGAGCCAGGGTATGTAAGTCTATGTTTTGTATATCTATGTTGGCCTGAGTGACTCCCAATCAGAGGCAACGAGTGTCAGCTGGTTGTCTCTGATTGGGAGCCATATTTAACTATCGGTCTTTTCACTTTGTGTTGTGGTTTCTTGTTCCTTTTGGTTTGTGTGTATCGAAGGACTTCACGTTTCGTTCGTTGTTTTGATCGGGTGATCTGTTTAATAAATAATATGTACGCATTCAACGCTGCGCATTGGTCCTCCTCCTTAAGCGAACGTGACAGCATGTCTCCTTTGCCAAGATAATCCATCCACCTGACAGGTGTGGCATATCAAGAAGCTGATTAAACAGCATGATCATTACACAGGTGCACCTTGTGCTGGGGACAATAAAAGGCCACTCTAAAATGTGCAGTTTTGTCACACAACACAATGCCACAGATGTCTCAAGTTGAGGGAGCGTGCAATTGGTATGCTGACTGCAGAAATGTCCACCAGAGCTGTTGCCAGAGAATTGAATGTTCATTTCTCTATCATAAGCCACCTCCAAAACCGCAGACCACGTGCATGGCGTCGTGTGGGCGAGCGGTTTGCTGATGTCAGCGTTGTGAACAGAGTGCCCCGTGGTGGCGTTGGTTATGGTATTGGCAGGCATAATCTATCTTTCTTTTAAAGTATCTCTGACCAACAGATGCATATCTGTATTCCCAGTCATGTGAAATCCATAGATTAGGGCCTAATGAATTTATTTCAATTGACTGATTTCCTCAGTAAAATCTTTGAAATGGTTGCATGTTGCGTTTATATTTTTGTTCAGCGGTCTAGTCTGGTCTCTCTCCCTGCCGTAGTCAGCGGTCTAGTCTGGTCTCTCTCCCTGCCGTAGTCAGCGGTCTAGTCTGGTCTCTCTCCCTGCTGTAGTCAGCGGTCTAGTCTGGTCTGTATCCCTGCTGTAGTCAGCGGTCTAGTCTGGTCTGTATCCCTGCTGTAGTCAGCGGTCTAGTCTGGTCTCTATCCCTGCTGTAGTCAGCGGTCTAGTCTGGTCTCTCTCCTTGCTGTAGTCAGCGGTCTAGTCTGGTCTCTATCCCTGCTGTAGTCAGCGGTCTAGTCTGGTCTCTCTCCCTGCTGTAGTCAGCGGTCTAGTCTGGTCTCTCTCCCTGCTGTAGTCAGCGGTCTAGTCTGGTCTCTATCCCTGCTGTAGTCAGCGGTCTAGTCTGGTCTGTATCCCTGCTGTAGTCAGCGGTCTAGTCTGGTCTCTCTCCCTGCTGTAGTCAGCGGTCTAGTCTGGTCTCTATCCCTGCTGTAGTCAGCGGTCTAGTCTGGTCTGTATCCCTGCTGTAGTCAGCGGTCTAGTCTGGTCTGTATCCCTGCTGTAGTCAGCGGTCTAGTCTGGTCTCTCTCCCTGCTGTAGTCAGCGGTCTAGTCTGGTCTCTCTCCCTGCTGTAGTCAGCGGTCTAGTCTGGTCTCTATCCCTGCTGTAGTCAGCGGTCTAGTCTGGTCTCTCTCCCTGCTGTAGTCAGCGGTCTAGTCTGGTCTGTATCCCTGCTGTAGTCAGCGGTCTAGTCTGGTCTCTATCCCTGCTGTAGTCAGCGGTCTAGTCTGGTCTCTATCCCTGCTGTAGTCAGCGGTCTAGTCTGGTCTCTATCCCTGCTGTAGTCAGCGGTCTAGTCTGGTCTCTATCCCTGCTGTAGTCAGCGGTCTAGTCTGGTCTCTCTCCCTGCTGTAGTCAGCGGTCTAGTCTGGTCTCTATCCCTGCTATAGTCAGCGGTCTAGTCTGGTCTCTATCCCTGCTGTAGTCAGCGGTCTAGTCTGGTCTCTCTCCCTGCTGTAGTCAGCGGTGTAGTCAGCGGTCTAGTCTGGTCTCTCTCCCTGCCGTAGTCAGCGGTCTAGTCTGGTCTCTCTCCCTGCCGTAGTCAGCGGTCTAGTCTGGTCTCTCTCCTTGCTGTAGTCAGCGGTCTAGTCTAGTCTCTCTCCTTGCTGTAGTCAGCGGTCTAGTCTGGTCTGTATCCCTGCCGTAGTCAGCGGTCTAGTCTGGTCTCTCTCCCTGCTGTAGTCAGCGGTCTAGTCTGGTCTCTCTCCCTGCTGTAGTCAGCGGTCTAGTCTGGTCTCTCTCCCTGCTGTAGTCAGCGGTCTAGTCTGGTCTCTCTCCTTGCTGTAGTCAGCGGTCTAGTCTGGTCTGTATCCCTGCTGTAGTCAGCGGTCTAGTCTGGTCTCTATCCCTGCTGTAGTCAGCGGTCTAGTCTGGTCTCTATCCCTGCTGTAGTCAGCGGTCTAGTCTGGTCTCTATCCCTGCTGTAGTCAGCGGTCTAGTCTGGTCTCTATCCCTGCTGTAGTCAGCGGTCTAGTCTGGTCTCTATCCCTGCTGTAGTCAGCGGTCTAGTCTGGTCTCTATCCCTGCTGTAGTCAGCGGTCTAGTCTGGTCTGTATCCCTGCTGTAGTCAGCGGTCTAGTCTGGTCTCTCTCCCTGCTGTAGTCAGCGGTCTAGTCTGGTCTGTATCCCTGCTGTAGTCAGCGGTCTAGTCTGGTCTCTCTCCCTGCTGTAGTCAGCGGTCTAGTCTGGTCTGTATCCCTGCTGTAGTCAGCGGTCTAGTCTGGTCTCTCTCCCTGCTGTAGTCAGCGGTCTAGTCTGGTCTCTCTCCCTGCTGTAGTCAGCGGTCTAGTCTGGTCTCTCTCCCTGCCGTAGTCAGCGGTCTAGTCTGGTCTCTCTCCCTGCTGTAGTCAGCGGTCTAGTCTGGTCTCTATCCCTGCTGTAGTCAGCGGTCTAGTCTGGTCTGTATCCCTGCTGTAGTCAGCGGTCTAGTCTGGTCTGTATCCCTGCTGTAGTCAGCGGTCTAGTCTGGTCTCTCTCCCTGCTGTAGTCAGCGGTCTAGTCTGGTCTCTCTCCCTGCTGTAGTCAGCGGTCTAGTCTGGTCTCTCTCCCTGCCGTAGTCAGCGGTCTAGTCTGGTCTCTCTCCCTGCTGTAGTCAGCGGTCTAGTCTGGTCTGTATCCCTGCTGTAGTCAGCGGTCTAGTCTGGTCTCTATCCCTGCTGTAGTCAGCGGTCTAGTCTGGTCTCTCTCCCTGCTGTAGTCAGCGGTCTAGTCTGGTCTCTCTCCCTGCTGTAGTCAGCGGTCTAGTCTGGTCTCTATCCCTGCTGTAGTCAGCGGTCTAGTCTGGTCTGTATCCCTGCTGTAGTCAGCGGTCTAGTCTGGTCTGTATCCCTGCCGTAGTCAGCGGTCTAGTCTGGTCTGTATCCCTGCTGTAGTCAGCGGTCTAGTCTGGTCTGTATCCCTGCTGTAGTCAGCGGTCTAGTCTGGTCTGTATCCCTGCTGTAGTCAGCGGTCTAGTCTGGTCTGTATCCCTGCTGTAGTCAGCGGTCTAGTCTGGTCTCTATCCCTGCTGTAGTTGTAGGGATTCCTGTAACAAAGTGAGCGTATCCAGCAGCTCTGCCACTTTCAAACAATACTAGCCCCTCTACCTCTACAGAAGCAGGGTTCCTGCTCAGCCCAGTCAAAACTGTTCGCTGCTCTGGCACCCCAATGGTGGAACAAGCTCCCCCCACGACGCCAGGACAGCGGAGTCACTCACCACCTTCCCGGAGACACTTGAAACCCTACCTCTTTAAGGAATACCTGGAATAGTATAAAGTAATCCCCCTCCCCTACCCCCCCATAAAGAAAATAGAAAAAAATAAGAAAGTAATTACTTAATTAAATTAAAATTAATAAGCAATACATGATCTAAACCAGTAGACAGATAAGAACACGTATTATAGAACACTAGAGTGCTGCGAGGAGAAATGACCCTACATCCCCTATTGCAAGTCATTTCTCAGAGGCCGGTCACCCCGTCTCCTCCATGTCCTCCTGTGCTTTACAGCAGATAAACCTTCACGTAAGTGGTGGTCATCTTAAACTTAGTCTTCTTCAGACAGAATGCAGGTGGATGTTCTATTTAAAAAACTCTCCACCCATCAGGCTCTGTCGTTGCTGGCCGCGACCGGGAGACCCATGGGGCGGCGGACAATTCGTCCAGGGTAGGGGAGGGAATGGCCGGTAGAGCATGGCGTTTGCAACGCCAGGGTTGTGGGTTCGTTTCCCACGGGGGGGCCAGTATGAAAAATAATGTATGCACTCACTAACTGTAAGTCACTCTGGATAAGAGCGTCTGCTAAAATGACGTAAATGTAAGTTAAGCCGCCTTGAATGAAGAATTTGTTATTCAAGTGTCTTCTGGAACTGGAATAATATATAATTGACTCATTGGTGCTCAATACCCCCATCTAGTGGTGTCTCTAGGTATAATATATAATTGACTCATTGGTGCTCGATACCTCCATCTAGTGGTGTCTCTAGGTATAATATATAATTGACTCTTTGTTGCTCGATACCTCCATCTAGTGGTGTCTCTAGCTCTCTACTCTATTTAAATCTGGTTATTTATGCTGAGGAGATGTTCACATGGTTTTACTGTATGTCAAAGCAATAATTGATGATGATTTCTCCGTCTACTTTTGTATATAATCTAGATCATGCATTCTATTCTACCAGGTACTGATTCATAGATTTTCTGATGCGTTTTCTTGCTTGATCATGTGACATGCAATTATCGTTGAACTAGAAGCCGGGTGTGTGTGTGTGTGCTGACATTCCCACTGATGACGGCCTGAGGCTGAAACGGTTGGGTTTTGGTTTCACCTTTCATTAATGCACTATGGGCTTTTGGGCCACCATGATGTTTTAATAAACATCTTTATCATTCAAGCTTGCTTTTTTTTGTTTTTACCCCCCCCCCCCCCCCCCCCCCCCCCCCCCCTTTTTCATATCACCGTCTCCTGTATGGTGCTGAGAGCAAGTTGCCACTTCTGTTGAAGCACCTTTATACAACAGTCATGTATCTCCTTACCTTGGCCTCCTCGTTGACATCCCAGGGGAAGGAGACGGCATTGTAGGCGATCTCCTCAATGTTCCCGATGGTGTTGAAGCTTTCTTTGTAGTCGGCTGCATGCAGAGAGGAGGTCACAGGACATCAGTGTCTCTCAAACGCTACTTTACTGTTTCATTTACATAGAGCATGTTAAAGAGCATTTCAAAATACCACACACACACACACACACACACACACACAGAGAGCACGGGGAGAGTGGATGTCTACCTGAAAGACCTAAGTGAGAAAATATTCCCTGCGGCAGCACAGTAGGAAATGTTTCAACACTGCTAGTGCATGGATAATGGGGCCACACTAAATTCACTTCAAGAAAATATCACTATTTCAAAAACTGCAACATCTTTTGAGCTGAATCAGATTATAAGGATTTAAGTTGGCAAATCCACAAAGCACAGCACCAACAGTTTTTAGGAATACAATATATAATGATGTGTATTGGACAAGGACATGTGGAATATAAACTAAACTGCCTATTTACCCACAGTTTACTCCATCCCACAAGTTGAGACAAGTCCCCCCCCCTATTCAAATCCCTGATGCAGTGACCTCGCCCCGGGCCTCAGGTGGAATCGTGCCAGACCGTTATTCTAATCACTGCCCTGTGTCAGGTTTCACTACCAGTAATGTTAGGGCTCTCCTCTCATCTCATACATTTACATTTTACATTTACGTCATTTAGCAGACACTCTTATCCAGAGCGACTTACAAATTGGTGCATTCACCTTATAGCCAGTGGGATAACCACTTGACCATTTTTTTTTTTTTTTTTTTTTTTTTTTTTTTTGGTGGGATTTTTTTGGGTGGGGTGGGGTAAGGGGGGGGTTAGAAGGATTACTTTATCCTATCCCAGGTGTTCCTTAAAGAGGTTGGGTTTTGGTTTACAGCAGATAAACCTTCACGTAAGTGGTGGTCATCTTAAACTTAGTCTTCTCCCAGGTATACCACCTGGGGGTCTCTAGTCCTGATATCTTAGGTACCTGGGGCAGTGGACCTCAACTCTAACTGATTCTTCCCTCGCCAGAGTCTGTCACTGCCCCGCTGTATTCCCCATCTGTTTTTCCATGGATCTGTAGACTGGTTATGAGTCGCAGTGTGTTTCAGTAACAGGAGACCAGACAGAGAGAGGAGTGGTACTAAAACGGGCTTTCCATTACCTGGGCTTTGGCTCGAAGACACTGTGGTTTCCCTGGAGGACACTGATATCATGGTTGATCATATCAATGTGGGAAAAGGGATGTTGTTCTTACCGATGTCTAGGACTCTCTGTTTAGTGGTGTGTTGTCTGGAGTGCCAGTACGTTGGTTAGTTAGGGTTAGTTAGGGTTAGTTAGCTACAGTTAGTTGTTCTTACCGATGTCTAGGACTCTCTGTTTAGTGGTGTGTTGTCTGGAGTGCCAGTACGTTGGTTAGTTAGGGTTAGTTAGGGTTAGTTAGCTACAGTTAGTTGTTTCTTACCGATGTCTAGGACTCTCTGTTTAGTGGTGTGTGTCTGGAGTGCCAGTACTTCCAGTGTTTCAGCTGCTGATCTCTGTCCTATCCTCCACTGAACATCACCATCACCACACTCTGGAGGGAGAATACGTTCAACCTCGATACCCATACATCATATCCAGGCTAGGGTTTCAGCTCAATAACCCATACAAAGCATTAATCCCAGTGCTAGGGTTCAGCTCAATACCCGTACAATCATTATCCAGGCTAGGATTCAGCTCAATATCCAGTACAATCATTATCCAGGCGAGGGTTCAGCTCAATAACCATTACATCATCCTATCCAGGCTACGGTTCAGCTTAAATACCCAGTTAACATCATATCCAGGCTAGGGTTCAGCTCAATATCCAGTACATCATTATCCAGGCTAGGTTCAGCTCAATCCAGTACATCATTATCCAGGCTAGGGTTCAGCTCAATACCCAGTACATCATTATCCAGGCTAGGGTTCAGCTCAATACCCATACATCATTATCCAGGCTAGGTTTCAGCTCAATACCCAGTATCATCATTATCCAGGCTAGGGTTCAGCTCATATCCAGTACAATCATTATCCAGGCTAGGATTCAGCTCAATACCCAGTACAATCATTATCCAGGCTAGGGTTCAGCTCAATACCCAGTACACTCATTATCCAGGCTAGGATTCAGCTCAATACCCAGTACATCATTATCCAGGCTAGGTTCAGCTCAATACCCAGTAATCATTATCCAGGCTAGGGTTCAGCTCAATATCCCAGTACATCATTATCCAGGCTAGGGTTCAGCTCAATACCCAGTACATCATTATCCAGGCTAGGGTTCAGCTCAATACCCAGTACATCATTATCCAGGCTAGGGTTCAGCTCAATACCCAGTACATAATTATCCAGGCTAGGATTCAGCTCAATACCCAGTACATCATTATCCAGGCTAGGGTTCAGCTCAATACCCAGTATATCATTATCCAGGCTACGGTTCAGCTCAATACCCAGTACATCATTATCCAGGCTAGGGGTTCAGCTCATACCCATTACCAATCATTATCCATGCTTGGGTTCAGCTCAATACCCAGTACAATCATTATCCAGGCTAGATTCAGCTCAATACCCAGTACAAATCATTATCCAGGCTAGGGTTCAGCTCAAATATACAGTACGATACATTATCCAGGCTAAGGAAATTCAGCTCAATACCCCAGTACATCATTATCCAGGCTAGGGTTTCAGCTCATACCCAGTACATCATTATCCAGGCTAGGATTCAGCTCAATATCCAGTACAATCATTATCCAGGCTAGGATTTCAGCTCAATACCCAGTACAATCATTATCCAGGCTAGGATTCAGCTCAATACCCAGTACATCATTATCCAGGCTAGGTTCAGCTCAATATACAGTACATCATTATCCAGGCTAGGATTCAGCTCAATACCCAGTACATCATTATCCGGCTAGGGTTCATCTCAATACCCAGTACATCATTAATCCAGGCTAGGATTCAGCTCATCTCCAGTACAACACTCATTATCCAGGCTAGGATTCAGCTCAATACCCAGTACATCATTATCCAGGCTAGATTCAGCTCAATACCCAGTACATCATTATCCAGGCTAGGGTTCAGCTCAATACCCAGTACATCATGTATCCAGGCTATGATTCAGCTCAATATCCATACATCATTATCCAGGCTAGGATTCAGCTCATACCCAGTACATCATTATCCAGGCTAGGATTCAGCTCAATACCCAGTACCTCATTATCCAGGCTAGGGTTCAGCTCATATAACAGTAACATCATTATCCAGGCTAGGATTCAGCTCAATACCCAGTACATCATTATCCAGGCTAGGGTTCAGCTCAATACCCAGTACATCATTATCCAGGCTAGGATTCAGCTAAATACCCAGTGCAGCATTATCCAGGCTAGGGTTCAGCTCAATACCCAGTATATCATTATCCAGGCTAGGATTCAGCTCAATACCCAGTGCAGCATTATCCAGGCTAGGGTTCAGCTCAATATCCAGTACATCATTATCCAGGCTAGGGTTCAGCTCAATATCCAGTACAATCATTTATCCAGGCTAGGGTTCAGCTCAATATCCAGTACATCATTATCCAGGCTAGGATTCAGCTCAATACCCAGTACATCATTATCCAGGCTAGGATTCAGCTCAATATCCAGTACATCATTATCCAGGCTAGGATTCAGCTCAATATCCAGTACATCATTATCCAGGCTAGGATTCAGCTCAATATCCAGTACATCATTATCCAGGCTAGGATTCAGCTCAATATCCCAGTACAATCATTATCCAGGCTAGGATTCAGCTCAATATCCAGTACATCATTATCCAGGCTAGGATTCAGCTCAATATCCAGTACATCATTATCCAGGCTAGGGTTCAGCTCAATATCCAGTACATCATTATCCAGGCTAGGGTTCAGCTCAATACCCAGTACATCATTATCCAGGCTAGGGTTCAGCTCAATACCCAGTACATCATTATCCAGGCTAGGATTCAGCTCAATACCCAGTACATCATTATCCAGGCTAGGATTCAGCTCAATACCCAGTACATCATTATCCAGGCTAGGGTTCAGCTCAATACCCAGTACATCATTATCCAGGCTAGGGTTCAGCTCAATACCCAGTACATAATTATCCAGGCTAGGGGTCAGCTCAATATCCAGTACATCATTATCCAGGCTAGGATTCAGCTCAATTCCAGTACACTCATTATCCAGGCTAGGGTTCAGCTCAATATCCAGTACATCATTATCCAGGCTAGGGTTCAGCTCAATACCCAGTACATCATTATCCAGGCTAGGGTTCAGCTCAATACCCAGTACATCATTATCCAGGCTAGGATTCAGCTCAATACCCAGTACATCATTATCCAGGCTAGGATTCAGCTCAATACCCAATACATCATTATCCAGGCTAGGGTTCAGGTCAATACCCAGTACATCGTTGTCCAGGCTAGGGTTAAGCTCAATACCCAGTACATAATTATCCAGGCTAGGATTCAGCTCAATACCCAGTGCAGCATTATCCAGGCTAGGGTTCAGCTCAATACCCAGTATATCATTATCCAGGCTAGGGTTCAGCTCAATATCCAGTACCCAGAAACATAAACTATTTTTCACAGCTTTAGAACGTCTCAGGAAACTTTGAAAGATTTTCAAATTCCGGCGGGGTTCCCTCAAATCCTAAACCCTTTTCCACTATGTTCCTCCCCTCTCATTTCCAGCGGGGTTCCCAAAACCCTCTCATTTCCCTAACCCCAGCTCCCCCCCCCTCTATTTCCACTGGTTCCTCCCCAAAAAAAATTCTTCCCCCGGCGGGGCACTCAATCCCCCCCTCTTCCCCCGGGTCCCCCCCTCCCCCCAGTAAAATTATCCCGGGGTTCGCCTTTTCCGCATCTTCCCTATTCAGCCTTCCCCCTCCCCTTATCCAGGGGGGTTCCCCCCTAAACCCTTTCCAGCGGTTCCCCCCTCCCTCCTATTTCCCCCGGGGTTCCCCCCCCATTAAATCTTTCCCCCTAAATTCAGCTCTACCCTCTCATTTCCGGCTGGTTCCCTCCCTCCCATTTTTCCACGGGGTTCTCCCCCCCCTTTTTTCCAGCTTGGGTTCCTCTCCCTCAAATTTCCACGGGGTTCCCTCTCCCATAAATTTTCCACGGGTTCCCAATCCCGTTCTTTCCGCTTTCCCAAATTCCGTCCCCCCCATCTATTTTTCCCAAAAAACCCTTTCTCCAAAACTTTGGGGTTCTTTTTCTCCCCCCTCTTCCAGCCCTCCCCCTAACCCCATCCTCCACTGCCCCCCCCCCCCCTCCTCCCTGTCCCCCCCCCCATCCTCCATCTGTCCCCCCCCCCCCTCCTCCTCTGTCTCCCCCCCCCCCCCCCTCCACTTTCCCCCCCCCCCCTCCCCCCTGCTCCCCCCCCCCCATCCCCACTTTCCCCCCTCCCCTTCCCCCCCTTCCCCCCTTCCCCCCCCTCCCTCCCCCATCTGCCCTCCCCCCCCCCCTCCCCCTTCTCCCCCCCCCCATTTCCTTTTCTCCCCCCCCCCCTTTCCCCCCCTCTTCCTCCCCCCCCTCCCATCCCCACTTCCCCCCCTCCCCCCCCCCCCCCCCCCACCCTTGCCTCCCCCCCCCCCACCTCCCGCTCCCCCCCCCCCACCCCTCCACGTCCCCCCCCTCCCCCCCCCCCCCCCCCCCCCACCTCCCTTTCTCCCCCCCCCCCTCCCCCCCACGCCCCCCCCTTCCCCCTCTTCCCCCCCCCCCCCTCCTCCATCTTCCCTCCCCCCCCCCATCCTCCACGTCTCCCCCCTCCCATCCTCCATCTGTCTCCCCCCCCTTTCCCCCCATTTCCCCACCCCCCCCTCCCCCCCCCTGCTCCCCCCCCTCCCATCCTCCCGTCTCCCCCCCCCCCCCTCCATCTGTCCCCCCCCTCCCCCCTCCATTGCCCCCCCCCCCCCCATCCTCCCTGTCTCCCCCCCCCCCCTCCTCCATCTTTCCCCCCCCCCTCCCCCCCATCCTCCACTGTCCCCCCCCCCCTTTTGCCCTCCCCCCCCTCCCATCCTCCATCTGTCTCCCCCCCCCCCCCATCCTCATCTGCTCCTCCCCCCCTCCATCCTCCATCTGTCTCCCCCCCTCCCATCTCCATCTGTCTCCCCCCCCTCCCATCCTCCATCTGTCTCCCCCCCCTCCCATCCTCCATCTGTCTCCCCCCCTCCCATCCTCCTCGTCCCCCCCTCCCATCCTCCATCTGTCTCCCCCTCACCTCCCATCCTCCAGCTGTTCCCCCCATCCTCCATCTGTCTCCCCTCCCATCCCCATCTGTCTCCCCCCCCCATTTCCCCCCATCCTCCACTGTCTCCCCCCTCCTCCCATCCTCCATCTGTCTCCCCCCCTCCCATCCTCAGCTGTCTCCCACCCTCCCCCATCTGTCTCCCCTCCATCCTCATCGTCTCCCCCCCCTCCCATCCTCCATCTGTCTCCCCCCCTCCCATCCTCCATCTGTCTCCCCCCCTCCCATCCTCCATCTGTCTCCCCCCTCTCCCTCCCCTCTTTCCCCCTCCCTCCATCTTCCCTGCCTCCCCCCTACCCCATCCTCCATCTGTCTCCCCCT